TGTTTAAGTTTGGGTAAAATTAAAAACTGAGATGTCTCATATTTAATCCCCAGCAGAGGAAATCACCACAGGATTCATGACTGATGTTTTCACAGTTATCATGACATTACAACACATGTATGGCAGGCTCATGAACACGTTAACGAAGAATCCAAGCTTTGCTGTCAGTAAGTTTAAAAGATTCTCCTCTCCAAAAGCCACCCCACCCTCCCCATACCTTAAGGCAGCATGAATTCATACAGGTGTGTGCATATACAGATGGAAATACAAATGTACATACATACACAAGTCCTGCACATTCACAATGTAACTAATACATGTATATTCATCACAGCATAATGCAAGTCACGTTCTAAAATCATTAATTTTTTAAAATTTGCTTTTTGTTTTTTTCTTGAGAGTTCCTTGCAACTGACATTAGATTGCAAAAGTGCACTAGAATGGTTTATAAAGGTATTTTGTATAGAGCATTAGATTGGTAAAGACTATGACAAGTATCTTCCAGGTCTGCATCTGAAACTATTAACTAGATGTTATTTTAATCAATATCCTGCTATCTTAATGACAAAGATCTTTGTGTAAAGGAAGTTTTACAGAAGGACCTTAAACCTTTTATAAAGGAAAAACTATTACTTCAGCAAACATTTCTCCAAGAAAAAGGGACTATACCTTGGCTTTAAAGTATTACAATAGTCTTGATGAAAAGGCTTGCTTGATGCTTGGCTCTTCTACATCAAAGATGTCAGGTTATCCTTAGACCTTGCTGATTTTTATCCATAGCACAAATGAACATGAATTGCATAGGGAGGAGGGGAAACAAATCCCACCAGACTTCCAGAAATATAGGCACATAGGACTGATGGCACATCATTTTAAACCAAAATTTTTATTATGTGGCTAATATATGGTTGGCTGCAAGCTACAAGTTCATCTAATCTGCATAATGAGAATAGAAAAAAATAAATTGACAGAAAGCAAGGAAATGAAAGAGTTCTACTGGCTCATATTGAAACAAAGCACAAAAAAACTGAAATAAAAGCTTTAACCTTAGTTTTACTCTCATTGGATCTGCTGTTTCATTAATGAAGAACTACTTTTTGTCAAAGGACAGACATACAGACCAAATTCTTCCTCTTTTCCTTCACTTTCCTGCAAAAAAGCACCCATGTTGAGGTAGGGGGAGAGAAGAAAGGCCAGACCTCTTTCTTGCATCTAGAAGGGTTTGTACAGATCATTTGGGTTTTATAAAGAAGACACAGAACCAGAGGCACATTTTAACACACAAATGCACCTGAATACTTATCAACCCCCTCCAGTAACTACCTCTAAAGTTGTGTGTTGGCAGAAATGGAACATCAGCAAGGCTGTACAGGGGATTTCACAGAAATCTACAAGGAGTGCAATAGTGCATGTCTTGGCAACAGCCCTGGCTCTGCAGTGCAGGGACCTGCTAGAACTTTGCCATAGCACAAAACTCCTTAATACAAGTTTTATTTTAAGGAATTTCTTATTTTTATTTTTTATTTTATTTCAGTAATATAGGAAGGCTACATATTTGAAATTAATATAAATCTTTTAAAGTAATTTTAAAATTTTAACATTTTTTCTGTTTATTTAAACTTGTAGAAGAATACATTATGCATTCCAAACATGCAGTTAAGGAAAGAACTGAAAATACTAAAATCAAATAATGCCATAACAGCCAAGTAAACCTGTAATAGTAAAATATTTTCTCAGAAATTCTGTAAACAGATTGTGATCGGGACCTCTCAGGAAGAACTGTCTGAAAAAGTAAGATCTCAAGAAACAAAATCCTAGAAAAATTGAAGCGTGGTCATCAGAAAACTATCTCTTAAACATCCACATTTTATACTTTGTATAAGCCTATTTAGGATACAAATGAACAAATAAGCCTTAAGAGTAATTGAACACAGACACTGAACTGATGATAGGCAGTGTCTCCTGCTGGCTTGCAGCAATTTAGTTACTGTAAGATGGTTGGAAACCGACCTTAAAGATCATCTAGTTCCAACCCCACACTATGGGCAGGGACAACTTGCACTAGACCAAGTTGCTCAAAGCCCCATCCAGTCTGGTGCTGAGCTTTAAAGGACAGGGCATCCACAGCTTCTCTGGGCAACTTTGTCCAGTGCCTCACCACTCACACAGTAAAGATTTTCCTCCAGTATCGAATCTAAACCTACTTTCAGCTTAAAGCCATTATCCCTTATCCTACCACTACATGGCCTTGTCCAAAACCCCTCTCCAACACTCTTGCAGGCCCCTGTATGTACTAGGAGGCTGCTCGAAGGTCTCCCAGAGACTTATTATCCAGAAACTTATCTCTTTCCCAGGCTGAACCCAAACTCTCTCAAGTCTGTTGTCACAGAAAAGGTGCTTCAGCCCTCTGATGATCTTCGTGTCCCTCCTCTGGACTTACTCCAACCAGTCCATGTCTGTTACGCTGGGGACCTCAGAGCTGGATGCATTTCTCCAGGTGGGGTCTCACCAGAGAAGAGCAGAGCAGAGCAGAGGGGCAGAATCACCTCTCTGGACCTACAGGCCATGCTTCACATGATGCAGCCCAGGCCATGTTTAGGTTTCTGGGCTGCAAGTGCACACTGCTGGGCCATGTCCATCCTCTCATCCACCAGCACCCCCAAGTCCTTTTCTCCAGGGCTGCTCTCAATCCATTCTTTTCCCAGCCTGCTTTTGTGCTTGGGATTTTCCTGCCTCAGGGTAAGCTTGCTGTGCAACAGTACTCCAGGTTCCTCAAGGTAAAAAGTAATTCAAATAATAAAATATCCTTGACTCTCATAGAAGCAAAGTAAGAAAGAGACTACTTGATACATTGTTCCTGGGAACATGATTACAAACAGATGAGTAACACGGAAAAGGGATGAACCTTTTCCCTGTGTTCAGTTACTTCCAGATGCAAACAAGAACTCCCTTCAAACAGACATACATTTGGAATGTGAGTTCTAGTCATTGCATATTGTAACACCTTTCAAGGGTAACCATTTTAGTTGACTTTGTTCCCTCTGTTGCAGGAAAATGCAGAGCATGTTTCCAGACATGTAACTCACAGCAAGAATTTGCCAAAGAACAGGTGAAATTCTCATCTATATTGAAACTGCCTGCAGTAGGCCAGAGATGATAAAGGCATGTTAACTATGATTCCTTTACTCCTTCATTCCTCCATTTTCCAAAGAAAATGGAGGAATGTTCTTAACTGTGTCCCCAAAGATTAGTATCATATTAAGTAATATTCATATACATCTAAAAGCACTTAATTTATGCTGCAAAGTAATAGGCTACATAATTTTTTTCTATAGAACCTCTGCAGGAATTCTACCACCTTGTGTGACATTATTGGCCAACAAATAAAATTTAAATGCAAACCAGTCATGCAATGGTAATACATTCACTGAACCTTTCCAAAAAGCATTTTCAAAACAGTTTTAAAAGGACAGAATGAAAAGAGATTTACAAATCCAGTCAGTTTTAACTTATCCAAGTAAAAGAAAGGAAGAGCTTTTCAGTATTTGATATACTATATAATCCTGCTGTGAGTAGAAGGAAAATCAAGTTCCTTGAAAAGCTTCTGCATTTGGAGGGTTTTTGCAAGCCACAATTGCTTGCCTCCCACTTGTTATTTAATCAGTTCACTGATAGAAATCTGGAGAATTTACAGGAGAATCAAAACAATCACAAGTAAAGAAATCTTTATTCTTCTCACAATAGATTCTTAGAGAGTTCTGAAATAATACTGGTAGGGAGATGCAAACTAAAAGGCCACCTGTATTTGAGTCTCTCAGTACTTTGGTACCACAGATGAGAGCACCTTTCCTGCCAGTACACAAGACATTAGGCATTCTTTGCTATGGATCTGTAAACCAGCTATGAAAAAAGCCCAACCCAGGGCGGAGCTGTCACAACTTACTCTTTGGTTTAAATGTATTGACAATGCCAATTCAAAATAAGAAACAAAAAGCTTCAGATACAAGTATTCAACTCAATTGACCATACCAGTTTGTTCAACCAAAGCATCCTCATTGACCTCAATACTCTTATATTGCAAATATACCAGGTTTTGAATTAGGCAACACAGACAGAAGAGTTAAGTGACAACACAGCATTTACAGTGGCATCTGAGGCAGAAGCAGCACATCTGAGTGTGCCATCCCAGGTTACAAACCAGTGATTTTCTGTCAGCCATTTTCTCATTGTAAATGAGTCACTTGAAATGAAGTATAAAGTCAAAAATGGCACAACTGAGAGTATGACAAGACCTTAACTAACAAAATTTGATGTATAATTGGCAGCTATATATTGACCCTTACTTTGCTTCTGGAAAAAGCTGCTAAAATGTATTCTAGAAACGTGAACAGATTTTACTGCAAGAATAAATAAGTCCCAAACCAATAATTTAAAATGTGCGTATACAGCAAAATTTCTCCATTTAATTACCTGTATAAGAAACATAATACCCGATCCATTTCACTCAAAACTACTTAATGTCAAAATAGCAGATCAATTTTTTGGTCAACAATATTTGCACTGGAGATTTTTTTTCTTTATGATACATTCTACTGTGCACATCATATGCCTGCAACTCTATATCAGACTACTTTTTTTCATAGGTAAACAGTGGCATTTAAAAAAAGCAGTGAATTCTCAAAACTCAGAAGTATAGCAAATAAAGTCATTTGGAAAAAGCAATGCATAAATCTATTCACTTATGTGATCGCAGCATCTGACAATTACTTTGACAAAGATGGTAATGCAGAAGGCATTTTCCCATAGCTCTGAAAAAGCTTACATCCATGGCAAAGTCAAAAAACTCACTTTCCTACAGAAAAATTTTAACGAAGAAATTTGATTCCCCTGTAAAACATCCCCTTTTTGTTTTTCAGCAAACTGGACTGAACTTGTCAGATTGTCTACCTATCCACTTCTATAACAAATTGTTAACACAAAATACAGCAGAGCACACTGTGTAATTAATTTCCAGAGTTCACCTTTATTAAAAACAAGGTTTTTGTTGTGAGAACAAATAATCTCTCACTCGTAGCTTGAAAGCCTAAGATAGGATCACTGGATTCCAGGGTTGCTACCAGCTGCTTAGCAACCTGTCCTACTTGTCTTCCTTCCTTCCTGTTGTAGAGAACTGTGGCCAGAGGTGTTGGCTGGCGATAGATGAAAACTCGTCGCAAGCACTCGCAAAGAGCAGCGTAGGAATAATCTGGAGCACAAGCCATGAACTTCTTGTCTTGCTTTGATGCTTGGACATAACCTAAATAACCCAAAACCAAACAGCAGGGATAAGTAATAGATGCATTTCAACTGAAGTTTAACTGGCTGATAAAAACCCAAGCTTAACTTCAAAACTAATGTGTAATTTTAAACAAAAAATATAACCCCAAACAAACAAACAATGACAACCAACCAACCAAAAACATTCAACATAAAAAAAACCCACTAAACCACCAAAGCACTCTTATTACATAAGTCAGTACTTTCTTAATGGATGAATTAACCAGTGGTGCTGGTTTTGCAATAATTGATAGTTGGTGAGGAGGCAAGAATAGTACCAAAATACAATTCTCATATACCTCATCTTAACTGGTGTTTTGGATACATATGTACAGCAAGATACTCTTCCCACATCTGGTACCTTTGTGCCTCACAAGGTCTTTCATTTTCTCAGCAGGATCATGAGGCCACAGACATGGTCCATATGGGCAATCTTGGCCCAATATTTGCAGCCTAAGTAGAATAAATCTCTTGTCTCTCCTCATCTCCAAGTGTGTAATTACATTTAAAAATTAGGATTTCTGAGCCCACCTGATCTTGAACAGACACTTAAAACTTGTTTTCTGTTTAGAACTGACTGAAGAAAAATGAGTTACTTTTTAACACACTGTAATTTCTGTTAATATTCACTCATAGACTCATTTCAGACTGATTTCCTTTCACACTTCTGTAAAGAGAATTGAGATACAATCTTTGTAAAGTGATCTACCATCTTTCTGCAAGGTTATTTGTTTCATTTCCATTGAAAAAATGCATGCCAATGGTTACCACATGAGTCAAGACAGGAAAAAATCTAAAGGTCACTTATTAAAACACCTTACCATAAGATTACATACACCTAGACATATAATGCATTAACTGCAGCTATTGCTATGACAATGTCTGTGCAAGTGTTAAGGTGGTGATTATGCTTTTCAGTCTCTAACTCAAAGTCACTTATCCAAGGAACTCTCTTTTTTGCTATGCAGTTCTGTGCTTACATACTATACATGGCCTGAAAAGGCTTATTTTCCTCCCAGGGCATAAACATTTCGTTTCTATGTTCTCTTATTTCTAAAATTAAGCTACCATGCTGCTATCGACAGAATTATAATTACTTTCAATTCCAATTTAAGAAAGTGAAAAATCAACATAAGTCATACCATAAGTATTCAAATAGAAAAGTCTCAGAGGTGTGTGACACAGAAGTTAATTTCTTACCTAAAGCATTAAAAGTAGCAATGTGTTCCCACATATTCTCTGGTTGGTCAGAGTGAGGCTGCCAGAGAAGAGCATCAACATCATGCCTCAGGCAGAAGCACGGCATTTCTCTGGGATTCACAACAACTGAGAAAAGATACTGGTTGCTTCCAAGATTAATCTGAAAACAAAACAAATATAAAATATTTATTCAAAGCACAAATAGCAAATTCTGTTACACATACTGCCAAAGTTAGATGATCACCAGTTTTATGTTTGTAACTTGACAAAATGTTTGAATACATTATGCTGCATCCCACTGATCAACAGCTCAATACACCACAGGTGCCTTACACATTTTAAGGAGATGCAATTAAGTTCATTGGAGTAATACTGAGAGAAAAATTACATCCACTACACAAGGAAATGGGAATGTGTTTTGTGCAGACATGGTTTTCTAGGGTAGATCCTAACCTACAATCTTCTCATGTTAGGAAAAGATTCTCTCTAAGTAATCACATCTGGTTTTCTGCAGGGCTAACAGGGAAGGACATACTGTCCCTCTCAGGTAAAAGCTGGCAAGAACTAAAACAAGGATTAGATAGAATACTAAAATTATGAAATGTTAACATTTTTAAATTACTCGCAATCAAGTAATTACTAAATTTCAGATTAGCACGCTTTTCAATAAAAATGTTTGTAGGAGTTGTGGGTAAAAAGCTATACCAGCCCCATTTCTGAAGGAAAAGGCCCCATAATTGCTAACAAGAAACCCTAAACAACTTGAAATAAGAACTAAATCAAAGTGAAAATACTTTCCTGTATGCTGAAAAATATACTGAAATACTCATATTTCTACATATTCTAACAAGGAACAAAACCACAAGTTCCCATAGAAAAGGTTGAAATTAATATTTCCTACCCACAGATAATGTCCTTTGACCATAATTCTTTAAACACATTAACCTTTAAACTACTTTTATGCCACCCATTTTAAGAACTTATTACAAGCACCCTGGAGTTCAAACTTGCTCCACAATGTCTTGCTGTCTGCTAAAAAGCAGCCTTCTTATGATCCCATGAACTCATGTTCCTCCTGATCTGTGAAATGTCTCAGGCATTTCTTACCCTTCAGTGTGAGGAGCAATAGTTTAGGCTGAGTTATTTATTAATAAAGTAATAGGTATTGGGAACTTTATCCAGTCTGGTATTGAATATCTCAAGGACAGAGGCTTTACAATTTACCAGGCAACCCAAACCATGCTACAACCACAATGTAGTTTTTGCTTTCATCCAGTTTAAAAAAAAACTCTCAAAAAGCCTCACGACAAGTTAATCTGTAATGTTTTCACATGATTTTGTTTCCAACTCCAAGCAACAGACCAAAATCAAATCCTAGCTTACTGTTAGTCACCATTGCTTACAACCCAAATCAAGCCCACTATTGAAGCATTTTGCCCCCAGTCTGTTATTTTCAGTGTGATTGACAAAAAAGTACCATAAAGTAATCTGTGCTCCAGCTTCTTAGTAAAAAAGGTCAGGTTTCTACCAGGCTGTCTGAAAAACTATTGTGGAAAATGCAAGCCAAGTCATCTAAAAATTTTATGCCACTGAAAAAGATCCTTTTCTTATAATTACTCTGATATAACTTTGTTTTTCAAATGGCTCACTTGTGAAAGTATATGTATTTTTTCATCAGAACAAAAGGAGCTTTGTTTTTATATATATTGTATATATATAATATAAACATATTTATATATGTTTTTATATTAAAATGATATCAAAGGACACATATGGATTGCACACTGTTGCTACTGTGATTTGATATCATGGGAGAAATTTATGTGATTTCAACAGTCTATAGATTTTTGTACTGATAATAGAGGTCAAATTCCACACAAAAAAGTGCTTTAAAGTATTTCTGTAATAATTTGCAGTACTTACTGTATGAGTGACTTTTAAGGTATCACCATCAAATCTGCACAAGCTTGCGCCGTCTTCCAGGAAAGCATCACACTCTTCTAACTCTTGAGCATTACAAGGTGGGTTTTCCTTTTCAGGGTTTGGATTCTGAAAAAAAGAATGAACTACACTGAAAATTGAAACTACTGAAAAAAAATAAATCTTTTTTATGACACAAAAAAGACCACAAAGAACAACTGAAGAATTATTTGCATATCCATACATACTGAAAGATTAAGCTGTTATTTACTCACTCAAAATAAATATAAAAATTTCTGCTGTGGAGGACAGCAGAAGTGGTAGATACAATAAAATCAATTTCTGTTTGAGGAAAGGTACATAAGCCACTAATGGACAATAAATACCCTTTCTAAGTAGCAAAAGTACACAATTCTGAAAACATATGCATATTTAGTAAATGTACATCAGTGTAAGCTTATTTCAGCTTGTCATTAATAATGCTATTGAAAAATGGATTGATTCATTTTATAAGCAGCTCTAAATACATGACACATTTTAGTTTTGCTAATAATAATTTTAATTATTAAAATACATTTAAAATTAATGAAAACTTATGATTAAAAAAACATCACTTTAAGCTTAGTATGAAGTACAAAAGAAAACAAATTTGAAGTTCCAAAACAATCTATGGTCAAAAGATACACTACAATATCTTGCTCACAAATACTGAGGGAGAGAGAAATCAATCTGGAGTACTAAATAGAATTTATTTTAATAACACTTTTTAGCCTTATTAAAAACAAAGTAATAATCCAAACCTAATATATCAAAAGCCACATGGAGGCACACTTCATAAATTCTCATAAAATGAGATGCCATTTTCTAATTAAACCAAGTATCAAGTAAACAGCAGCTAAAAATTACATTTTACTTTAAGTAGACTTCCTGTATGACAAAAATGCCAGAAAGTTCATGAGTCATGTTTATAGTTTCCTAAATTTTCCTTTTAAACATGGCATTTACACTCACAGTCTCTAGGTCAAGTACAGTATCCCTAGGAAGACAGTATAAAACAGGTTTTGCTAACCTATTGATAAACAAGAAACAGACATCTTTCAAAATCATTTAGTTAACTGCTTTAAAACAAACTGGCACATCCTACATGGTGGGAACAAAGTTTCTTTTCAATGCTAAATCAAGCTTCTATTTGTTGCATAGACACCATCATATAAGTTAAATTCAGTCCACCTTGAAGATGATTTTACTGTTCAAAGTGCATTCACAACTCTAGTGCCATTAGTTTGTAACACCTTCAATTAAAAATGAATGAATAGTAAATGAACTGGTGAGTTGGGTCAATGCAGTGCAAATTAGGGCATCAAGAAAAGACAACATGTACAAGTACAAGAATTTTAAGTCTTTGATTCTTGATTCTTTACCATTACTTCAGAGGTAAGATGCATCAGGCTTTCAGCTATTTCAGAGCATTGGGAAGGGTCCATAATGAATTCCCCTCTTGTATCACCAATGATTAGCTCTGGCCACTGGCACCCCTCGTTTTTCTTAATCAGAGAGATTTCCAAGCTAAAATGGAAAGAGAAGATAAAGAGTAACACATGAAAACACTACATCCATTTGTCAGATTAATCAAGAAGCTCTCAATGTAGATAAGAGCACTTCTCTTCAAACTGAATTAATAATGAAAATCACAGAAACCATTAGCATTCAAATTATAAAATACACCATACTAACAAAAATATTCTAAAGAAAAACAGACCACGCATGTGATTTTCTAATAGCCTAAACAGAAACCTCTTATAAACCACTTATATTTTCAATATAAGTGTAGTTTACCCTGAAGCAGACTCATTAAAATATTTCAAATATGGCAGGAAATCACTTGTAAAGCAATCTATTCAAAGACTGACAGAATTTTAATACTGAGGTTTATATGAAACATAAGCAGTAGTTCTTAGGGCTATTTAACTGTGCCCTACCTCTATATAATATCTGGGACAAAAATATTTGTATTTTATAGGACTCAAAAATACTACATCAATTATTTATCTACACTGTCTCTCTAAAGTTCTATCTCAGAAGAGGTTAAGATTTCTGTAACATGTAAAAACAAAACCCAACAACAACAAGAACCCAGTATGATCACTAAACTATTAGGAATAACTAATTAAGTAAACAAAAAATGAGACACAGCCCAATACACCAACATAGTAATTCCATGTAAATATTTTGTAGGACAAACATATAGATATAAGTCAGTTTTATTATACTCACTTTTTAGGTACACTTACAGGTTCTCCAGCAATGACAAGCACTGTAGTGCTCCTAACAAGAAAACCCTCTAAGTTACTAATTACTGCACCACAGCAGCAACTCTGAATCAGTTTCTAAAGCAATTGCACTGGTATTAGGAACAGCACACTTTTATAGAAGACATCTGAAGCAAGTTTTTGACTTTTAATCAATAGATTTATAGCAGTGGTGCAGTATGAAAATTAAGAACTGAGTGTAACTTATTACATTGAAATATGGAATTACTCTTTCTCATTAAAATAGAAACCTGAGATTCATACAATAATGCTTACTTGAATGAATAATGAAAAAATCAAGTTATTCAGCTGAGTTATTTTTCAGCATGATACCTAAAAGCCAACAACCCCACACATTTTAATCACAGTCAAATTTTAATACAGAGTAATAGTATAATCACAGTCAAATTTTAATACAGAGTAATAGTATAATCTATACAAAAATATTCGTCCCTCTTAATATTTTTTTGAGAATCACTGTCCTTTACAGTTAACCTTTTGGAAACTGCAAAAAGCCAAGATTATCACAGCTCAGAAGGGTAGCCTTTGTTTTAGATAAACAGCTATCAGCTGTTGAGTGGATCACCTGGTGGTCTACATGTTTCTTCTTGAGTTCATTAAAGAGTGTGAATATCTCTGAGATAACCAGACCAGTGTGGGTAAGTGAATACCTGGCTCAGCCCAGGCAGAGTATGAAAATTAGACAACACAAAGAAAAACCTGACTATGTTTTAGGGAGCTCAGAATTATTTTTTTGCACCCTCTTCATTCTTTTGAATTTTTATTTCAGAATTTTAAAAAACCCTAAAATTTAGTTCTCAAATAAAAACAGGAACATTTGTATTTGATGTCTACAGCATGTTAAATTCACAGAAATTTATCTTCTATAATGCACATATAATTTTTTAGGAAAATATAATAAAGAATTTATAAGTCTAGCCTAAAGAATTTATGTTGAATTATTATTTAAATACTTGCTTGTGGAAAGTGGAAGAGAAATTACCACAAACAACAAGGTACACTGGAACTAATAAATCCTGAAACATACAAAAAAAAAAAAACAAAACCAAAGTTGAATCAATTAAGTTTACTCTTCTTACAAATCTATGTTTAGTATTTTGATACTGTGTGGGGTTTTTTTTTAATACAGAGAATAACTGGAAAATAACTGCAAAAGGAAGGGATTACTTTCACAATTAGATAAAGAAATAGTACTCAGACAGCAAAAGCCAGTGAACTGTTTTCAAGGGAAGAGACATTCTTGCAAGAAGGGACACTGAGTGTAGCATTAAATGAGATCATTCCAGAAGGGCCAGAAATCCAATATGGTGTCTGTTTTGAAATCTGTTCCTATCAATAGAAAAACTAAAAAGTATATACAATACCTTTTATCCTCTCTAATTATCCATGTGCAGCTTTCATGGTCCACAGATGAATAGAGCTTTCCTTCCATCAAAGGAGGCTGGTCTTTCAGTGTAACCCATATATTATCAGGGGAAAAACGTATTTTTATGTCATCTTTTGTGATGTCTTGAGGCAGCTGAACTGTTATTGTCATATCATCTTGAGTCTGCTGCCAGTAGTAGAGAGGGTCTACAATTGGAAACATGCAGGAAAATACAAACTAGATTACAAGGATTACTGGATTCCACAGCCTCCAGTGCTGAGACATTTGGCATTTAGTAAAAGAAATGTTTTTGAAAAAGTGTAAATTAACTTTTACCTCTGAAAAACTTACACAAAATATATTCTGATCATAAAATGGAGAAACACCTTTTTAGCAATCAACTTCATTTGTATCCTTCCTTTCATGAGTAATTTATATTCATGTCTATACTCAAATACGCTGATAGTTATACAGTGGGCATTAACTGTTACTATTAAGTTTACCGTGGCATTATGAAATTGGAAGCCAAAATGTACTTAAACACATGAAACATTAATGATTAATAATTTGGTTGAAGAGACATCAGGTGCAGTATACTGACAAGCTACTGCATGCTGGAAGTACATGCCATTTAGAGATGTAAACACTTTTTTCTTACATATGTTGCTGGAAGCTATGCTGACTACTCAATAGAAATGATCTTATAAGACTAAGTAGTCTTAATCTGCTTCAGCTAATGGAGATGAAATACAACTACCTGCCCAGAGGTAGTAACTGACTTTTTCTACAGTTTCTAGAATCTGATTATTAAACTGCTAGAAGAAATGGCCTTTTTAGAGAAATGTTTATACAAAATAAAGGCTATGACAGCATGAGTGGGTAACACTCATATAGAAAATAGAAATACAGATGAATATATTTTCGAAAGAGCAATCTTGTAAAAGTTACCTTTCTATTTTGAGAAAAAGTACAGTATAGGTTTCCCTTAAAGCTTTCAAGTTGTCACAATCCAACTCAAGATTCTACTGATCAAAGCCTCATACCAGCATCTGTGACTCTGGAAGGACTCTTGCACTGCTGCCCTTTGCCACAACTGCCCTGGTTGCAATGGATCAGTCACAGGTGCTACAATTATACTTCCCCAGAAATTAGTACTATCTGAGACATGACAGCTTTCAAAATTTTGAACACTGACACAAATGGTATCTGATATTAAAAGTCCATTAATACCTGCAATTTCATATAACTGGGAAAATAAGACTAGAGCCTACGTTACTTTGCATTGTGGTGCTCAGTGCACTGAAGAACTCCTTTGCTTCAAGATTTATATATACAGACTATTCTTAATAAAATTACATGTACAAAATCACAGTTGTCACAGTGTTTAACATTAACACATTCCAGAAATTTGATCCTTTTGTATTGTTTTCCAAATAGATTTTCATGCTATTAACAAAGATTGTGCTATTATTCTTCAGTTAGAATTTGTTCACTAACCAATGCTTCATATGCAGAAACAAAAATCAAACAAAGTAATCCAACATAATTACATAGACATTACAGAGCTTAGTGATACTTAGGAATAAACAACTCTATTAGGTTTTTATATTCTTTGTTTTGTTTGCAAAGAAAAAAAAAATATGAATGCATTTTGTTGAAGTTTTTTTGAACTACTTTCCCATTGGAGAAAACAGAATCTTTTACAGGAGTCTCATTCCTTAAAAAGATTTTTCAAAATAATTATTTAAATTTTAGAAAGGCAGGAATTACATAAAATTACGTATTAAAAGGCTTTCTGATGAATAACAGTTTGGGGAGGTCAATGCCCCCCTCCCATCCAGGAAGACTGGTTTCTTAATTTGCATACTTCAGACAGATGCCTAAATTTAAGCATTAGCAATCCAACTAATACCAAAAACCTATTATATGTCTGTCTGCAAAATATCCTTTTCCTTAAGACAATGAAATTCTTTAAGTGTTTCCTATCCAAAAGAAAGCACCTAATACAGGTTTATGCACAATACAACTTCCAACAGTAAAGGCAAACAAACAAACAAAAATCAATCTGTCCATAAGATAGATATTAAAACACTTATTGCTAGAGTTTCCAAACAAATGCCAAACTAACAAGGTGTGTCCAAAGTCAAAGAAGAGAGCAGACTATCATAACCTGTCAGACTAAGTCTTACCTTTCTTTTCATTTGATACTTTTGCATCATCATTTTCTTCTAATTTGTCACTTTCACTTTGCATATATGTGAATGGTTTGTGGGAAACAATCATTAGCCCATCCCCACTTGGCTCTATTGCTGCATAATGAGGGACTGATTTTCCTTGCAAAATTCTCCTTTTAACGATTTCGTATCTATGATCACCTATAAAATAAAATTTAAAAAGGTCATAATATATTTCTAGAAGACAAATTATTATCTAAGGAACTCATTACATTTAAAAATACTATGCAATCCTACTTGTTAAATCACAGTACCATGGTTTTCCAATGAGCTACACTGGATTAATCTAAGACTTCATTTTATTCTTATGATGTCTTTGCTGACCACAGCTAGTCCAGCACAGCCTCAGTAGAAATATTTTTTTTCTTGTAGAGAAGGTAAGAAGAAAGCTAAGCATATCACATTTTCTGAATCTCATAAGGCAGCGTGGTGGCTCCTCATTTCAAGCTTTTACAGCAAGTATTTCTAAAAGTTTGGTTAATGAAAGAAAACCAAATTTGAAAGGTTATACTTTTATTACAGTCCTCTGAAGTACCACAAAAGATATGAAAAAACCTTACCACTGCCCTCATTCTGATTTATTCTCATGTTTCCATTTTTTTCCTTTGGTAACACAATAGTGGTGAGTGTGAGCCTTTTGTCTGCCAGACAGGGCAGAGATCTCACATTTGTCCATATCAAGAGACATAAACATGTTTAAAGGCTTTGCTCTGATGAAGCACAGATTTTAGAAATTTAAGAAATGGCTTGTTGATTAACTACTTACTTTTACTAAAATCTGAAAAAAACCTGCATCCACAGACAGTTTCAAAGAAAGGCAAGTAACAAAAATTGATTACTGATGAAAGAGATTGTAAAGTATTGCAATTCCTCAAAACCACTTTTATCTTTGAGACTGGTTCATACATCAGTCTGATTTGTGAGATGTTTGTTTAAATGAAATCAAATTTATTCCTCTCTTCACAATTAAAGATTGCTTTAAATTTTGTTATTTGCATCTCTCCTGACAGTAATTTCAAAAATTTTTTGTTCTCTGGAAATGCTGAAGAGCTGGCAAGATTTTTTGAAAAAATTTTAAATCTACTTTTAAGGATTCCAAGAATATTTGTCATAAATTATAAAACATACAATGTAAAAAAGGACTTTTTATTAAAGTGTACAGTATTAAAAAATACAATAAAAGTCTGCGCTGACTTCTGAGTAACAGTTTTCAGCTCTAGACTGGCAGCATTACTGATTAAGTTTTTCTTCTAAGTTATAAACAGTATTGTTCAGAGGTTTCTTTCTCTTGTTGTGCTGGCCATAAAAGCATAAGGCAGTTGGTCTCATGTGGCTTTCTGAGATATATTTCCATCATCCAAGGTTTCAACAGCAGAAAATATAACTAAAGCTACTGAGGGCAACACAGCTGGTGAAAGGGCTGGAAAGAATGTCCTGTCAAGACTAGGTGAGGACTTCAGGCTTGTCTAGTTTGAGGAAAATGAGGCTGAGGGGCAACCTCATTGCTGTCTGCAGTCTTCCTAGGGAGGGAAAGTGGAGATGGAAATGCTGAGCTCTTCTTGGTATCCAGTAACAGGACAAATGGGAATGGCTCAAAGCTGCACCAGATGAGGTTCAAACTGGACACTAGGAAGCATTTATTTCCTGAGAGAGTGGTTAAACACTGCAGCAGGCTTCCCAGAGAACTATTCTATTCAATGCTATCCTATCCATATTAGATATGTAGGAGATGGAAGAACATTTGGCTAGTAACATCACTATATGCCTCAACTGCTTTAGTCCAACTAGTTAAAGCTCTTGTTTCTATCAGTATCAGAATTTTATTTCTTGTAACATAATGAGCAAGACCATATCACAGTCATTCCAAGAATGTCTATTAATTTAATCCATGCATCTTTCAATATGACAGTGACACATGAGGTCTTGTATCCTTTATGTAAATCATGGTATTTAATGTCATACATATAGGGTCATATTGAATATATAAAGTCTGATTTGTCAAACTTTATTAGGATAAAACATTAATTAGTATGTATTAATATACTAACTAATATGTTTTCAATGTGTTGGTCCAAAATTAATGGAATAACTTCATACTCTTATTCCAGGAAAACCTTTTACACTATATGTCTTACATTTATCTCATACTACTTCCAATCCCACTGCATCATTAATTGAAAGCTAAAAAACAACAACAACAAAAACATAACCAAACACCCATATCCACCTGTAAAATATTTTAAAAAATACAACAGACATTAGGTAGAAATAGTTCCATATAACCTCGATTTTACAAGACCCAGCTAAACAGAAATTGCATTTTGTAACATTCAAGTAAAGTGCTATCTTGTTTCCTAATTATCTAATTATCATATTTCTAATATGACACAAGTGCAAAACTTTACTTCTTCCTCTTTTCCAAATGTCTCTCAAAATTTAGCTCTATAACCAATAACTTGATTTCAAAATATAAGAAAAAATTATCTACGTAAAATCTAAGCTGTGGAAAAGAAATATCAGAACCTGTGGAAATATAACTTCTAAGACAAAGAATAAAAACATTATTTTTATTTTTTTAACATTACTCATCAGTAATATAAATATAAAACACTTACTCTCTTTTCTTTCTGCAATTGTAAGCCATTCCAAGGTAACATGAAATCCGCTTCCTTTTGTGTCCAGTTCATCTTTTTCTACCCTAAGCACCAGCACAGCTAGTGAGTGTGCATCAGATTTTACAAATGAAACACTGTGTGCTAAAATAAATGGACTTCCTAGTTCTTCATTAAACACAATCTAGAAGAAAAAATGTAATAAAAAAGTCAAGTCAGATAGTTAAAGCTGTAAGCCTTGCTCTTTTACAGAAAGCAGGGAAGAGTTTCAGTGACAGTTTGTCACCTACAAATCTCTCTGACAATATGAATCCACAAATGTCACACATTTCTGGTTCCTCCTTCTGTGGCTCTCAAGCTACTGTACTGAAATGTTTTTAAACATTATTGTTTATACTGAACAATCATTATAAGAGCCCATTAAACAAAGCACAAAGATCCCCAAACCTGTCTGCACTGTGCCTGGTTAGCACTGCAATAAATAGAGGTACAGCAACTGATGAGAACAAGAGGGTCCACAAACACTGCCTATCAACTGGCCAAAGTCTCACACTCAAGATGAAAATGTAGGCACTTCCCCAAGGCCCCCACTAGTTCTCTAGATACTCTGAAAATCCTTGGAGACCTGTACATACACAAACAAGAAGACAAAGGTCCACAGCACCACTGCCACTGTTCAATCATCAAACATGCCATTATTTAGCTTTGCAAAGAGATCCCATTTTCCTCCTCTATGAACTAAGAAACAAAAAGCTGTAATGAAATGAAGGAGATAATATTCATGTTTAGGAGAAGTTAGGGTTAGAAGTTCTTGAATTTTTATTTATGTACATGGATTGGAAAAGTCCACCCAATATTTGAATGTGACTAGGTAGGCAGAATGCCTAACTATTACTGTCATATTGAAAGGCTAACAAGCACCACTGTGAATATAAAATATCATTAATTATTAACTTAAAGTTATAAATTTCATTAATTTATGATTTTTTTATATTATGTGAAATTTTTTTCATTCATTTCATATAGGACTCTGTATCTTATAGTGTGACATTGGATACCTATTGCTGGAAGTTTAAATTCTAAAAACCATGTATTCCAAATTTTTTCAAGAAGTACTCATTCAGCAAAAAACTGAAGAAGATAAAAACAAAATTAATCCAAACAACAAGAAAACAACAAGAAAAGAAACATTATTTGCTATAAGATTAACATATGAAAATGAAAGGATAAATTACAAAGAATACAAGCTGCAGTGGTTGAATGAGTTCAATCCAGCTGTTGTTACTGAAACCTGATAAAGTTTGAGGATTTATAGTGTTGTGATATTAACACAACTCTAAACCACTGCATGCTCTACATACTCAATAAGTCAATTTAAATGATGACAGAACCTCAGATATAAATCTCATATTTTTGTTACACTGACAACTTCAATGTAACTTATTTATGTGTCAGCATTCTCACACAGAACAGAATAAAAACCAGATGGTATTAATTACCAAGCATCTAAAACCAGGATGATCAATTTCCTTCACTGAACTCTCAAAAGATGTAGAGAAAGGAGCTAATCCATCATGCTGAAATCTTCCACTTCAGTATATACGCCTACATTTCTGCCACTACTAAAACATCTGTGGTTTCTTAGGAAACTACCCTCTAACCAAGAAAATAGACGCAAAATGCGGGCACTTTTTACCAGATTCATCATTCATAAACAAAGAGGAACTAACCAGAGAACATGAGACTCACAGCTTCAGGTAGAAATGTAACAATTATATTTGTTGTGTCCAAGCAGGATAACAAACACCATTATTAATGCAGTTAGGTCACTCTGATAGGGGTATATGTACAACTCCTAAATACATTATTGCAGGACGTACCTCCCACTTTTCAGATGCACTGCTTCCACGCTTGCCTGATTTAATTAAATACAGTCTTCCTGTACCATCAGAAAGGGTAACCCATGTGGAGGATGAGAAATGCATTGAGGCACAAAGGCGATTATCACATGCAGTCAAGTCTGTAGGTAGCCTAAAAACTTCTCTTGGCTTTTGCAGAGCAGTGTCCTATAAACAAACAGTCAGGAACTAAGACTTTCGAAGTATTTATTAGTTTCAGTAAATATTACAGGCAAATTAAAAATAATAAATCCCTAATAAATAATAAATGTACCAGTTTTGTGTATCATTGAGCATATTTGGAAAAAAGTGGGTAGCAAGCTTAATTCCCACAATTGTGGAAAAGGTGGTGGAAATTCATCAAACTGGTTTCTATGAATGTTTTCTGCTTAAAAGAAATGAAAGACACAGAATTGTATTCAAACTAGTGCATAAAACTCACCTGTAAATTTAAAAGGATTTTAGCTTAATCTGATGCACAACTGGCAAATATAATTTCTCAGCTCTCCTAGAGTGGTCACTTTATTCACTAATTTAAGAAAAGTAACACCTATGATTAGCCAGCAAAGAAAAGCTGTGCTAATTCATACCACATTTTCAAATAACTTTCTATCACATTGTTACTATACTATGGAATTAAATCCAGTTGATGGCCAGTCACTAGAGGTGCTCCCCTGGTCTCAGTATTGGGGCCAGTCCTGTCTAATATTCTAATCAATCATCTGGATGAAAGATTTGAGGGTACCCTCAGTCAGTTCGCAAAAGACACCAAGCTGAGCAGGAATGCTGATCTGGAGAGGGTAGGCAGGCTCTGCAGAGGGATCTGGACAGGCTGGACTAATGGGCCAAGGCCAAAGGTATGAGGTTCAATATGGAAAAGTGCTGGGCCCTGCCCTTGGGTCACAACCCCAGGCAGCACCACAGGCTTGGAGCAGAGTGGCTGGAAAGCTGCCCAGTGAAAAAGGACCAGTCAACAGTAGCTGAATAGGAGGCAGTGTGTGCCCAGGTGGCCAGTGGCATCCTGGCCTGTATGAGAAATAGCTGGGCAGCAGGATTAGAGAAGTGGCTATCCCCCAGTACTGGGCACTGGTGAGGCTGCACCTCAGGTCCTGGGTTCAGCTTTGCCCCCCCCCACTATAGGAAACACACTGAGGGGCTGAAGTTTGTCCAGAGAAGGGCAGTGGAGCTGGGGAAGGGTCTGGAGCACAAGTCCTGTGAGGAGCAGAGCAGCTGAGGGAGTTGGGGTTGTTCTGCAAGGAGAAAAGGAGGCTCAGGGGGGACCTTATGGTCCTGTACAACCACCTGAAAGGAGGCTGTAGCCAGGTGAAGGTTGGTCTCTTCTAATAACAAGTGACAGGACAAGAGAAAACGGCCTCAAGTTGCTCCAGGAGAGGCTTAGATGGTATTAGGAAAAATTTCCTCACCAAAGGAAACAAGCCTGGAACAGGCTGCCCAGGATAGCTGGTGCAATCACTATCCCTGGATTTTTCAAAGATGTATAGATATGGCACTTAAGGACACAGTTCAGTGATAGACCTAGCAGTGCTGGGTGATTGGTGGGACTCAATGATCCTAAAAGGCTTTTTCAACCTAAACAATTTTATGATTCTACTTCATGTCAGGATCAGTTTATTTAGAATCCTGTTGCAGTGCCATGCTGCAATCTTTTTTAAACTGAACTACAGATAGCTTTTGAGCAGGAATAAACAAAGACACTATGGTGAACAAATTGCACAGATGATAAAATTATTCAGTGAACAATCAAAGATGTATGGATTTTTAAAAAATTATGCATACCACTACCTTTTACCAAAAAAAACAAAAAATCCATTATTTCCTACTCTGTTAACTTTATACAAATCAGCTTGATTCAATAATAGTGCAAAATGGATGTTAGATTAACAATTTCATCATTATTTCTAGTAATTGTTCCCATAAATCCTACTTTAGTTCCGTGTTCTTAATTTCCTACTAATTCTAAGAGAAAAAAAAAACTGCTTTCATGCTGAAGATTTGATTTCCAACTTTTTTCATCAAGTACAGTGGCATATCTTCTGGCATATCTTGTAGGGATTATTCTTTATCTTCTGCCTTCACTCACATACATTTTACAAAAAAAAAAAAAAGGCTTTGTGACTGACTTCTTGCTCATTATTTGGCTCATGGAATGTCAGCCATGTTGCTTCCTGCTTAGGACTAAGATTTACCTCCATTTTTTGTGTCAAAGTAATCTCTGAATACCCAAGAGGCTTGTCTGGTTAAAAGAAAACTCTAACAAAATCTTTATGATTTGAAAAGAATTTGACATCACAGATTAAAGAACAGTCAGGACATGCTTTATCAGCAATACTGCTTGATCAGCTAATTATAAAGTAGACCAGGCTGCAGTCTTAAAAGCACAAACAAAATATTCTCACAGAGAAATATAAGATGCAAACTGGAGATTCAGCAACATCACCGTTACATCTCTATAATCTTTTAAATAACTGAAATAGAACTTAATAATTGGAAGCATTTCAACTGAACTAAGAAGCTGTTGAATAAAATGGGCTGGCAGTCTGACACAAGTGGGGTCCCTCAGGGATTGATACCAGACCCCACACACGGAACATCTTCATAAGGTACGTGGATGATGGGATTGAAAGCACCCTCAACACATCTGCTGATGACACTAAACTAGGTGATGAGGTAGACATGTGTACCTACAAGGGAAAGCCATGTGTGACATGGGGCAGCAAGAACATTGGGAAAGTAAGCAAAGACAAGCACAGTCCTGCAACTGGAATGGAAGAATCAGAGATCTCTGAATAGGCCAGGATCCCTGAGGCAGGGAGAAGCCCTGATGAAGAGGACCTGAGGGCAATAGGGATAACACGGTGACCATAAGTCAGCAGTGCACTGCTGCAGCACCAAAGGTAAATTGGATCCTGGCCTGCATCTGCAGAAGTATCACTAGCATAGATAAGAGATGTTATCATCCCACTCTACCCAGTGGTTGTCAGGCCCCATCTGGAATGACGTTGAAAGAAGACATGGACAGACTGGAAAAGGTGCAACACCATCAAATGCCTGTACAATCTCCCCTGTGTCAGAAGATTGAAGGAGTTATGTCTCATCTCCCTAGAGAAGATTCAGGGGAAAGCTCATCACAATGTTCCAGGGCAGCCACAAACAGATCAGGGCTCTCTCTTCACAAGAAGCCACGCAAAGTAGCAAAGACAAGGGATAGCAGCTAAAAGTTGCGTTAGGAGAGGTTTCATCTAGACACAAGAGAAATTTTTACAATGAGAACAATGAATAACTGGAACAACCTCCCCAGGGACATGGCAGAAACTCATCACTGGAGGTTTTCAAGACTAAACTGGACAGAGTGCTCGATAACCTCATCTAGGCTCCTGTGGCCATGAAGGCTTGGATGATATGATCCTTTGAGATCCCTTCATCTGGGCTATTCTATGATTCTAAAATAAACGAAAAATGTAATTAAAAAAATCCAAACCCACACCATATTCACCACCTTGTCCCTCTTACAGGTTCATAGACTGCAGAATCTGATTTGCAGTCTTCCAGTAATAACAAAGAAAAGCAATCCTTGTTCTTTTCTGTATCTTGGGGGGAACATTTCTCAGGAAGTTATGGCCATTTGCCCTATTTTCACAGAGTTATATATATATATACTTATGTATCATACATGAACCAAAATTAGATACAATGGGTTTCATAGGTATCTTACAGGCTAGTGTACCTACATGTATTCGAACTATAAAATTCGGAAAAAAAAGAGGTGCCTGACTGACCTTCAGAGATCATCCCTTTTTAAACCAAATTTATACTCTTAATCCAACAACGAATAGACCATGCTGAGAACATAAAAAATGGTTATAGAGCCACTGAAACTACTTCTCGTTTTATTTTACTAGGCTCATTTCCAGTCAGTTGATCTACAATTACTTTTGAAGGTCCACAAACCAGAAACCTCTGTTTACAAGAGGGAAATTCTTCCCTCATTACTAAAAATCAGCATTGCTGTCACTAAGATGAAAATATGTTTACAAAGAAATGTATTTGCAAAAATAGAAAAACAAAATTTGAAAAATATTACAGGGACAATTTTGAAGATATTGACAAGTATGTAAAAGGAAGCACAAACAAGAAGCATATATTTGTTTTCACAAAGTGGGTGGGAAACAAGTAATTATTAATTGTGACACAAAATGGTTCTTAGTCCCATCCCAGGCCCAACCTTAATGCAGAAAGGCATGACACTAAGAAATAGCAGTGAAAACATTCAAGATTAAAACTGTGTCTCATTACAGACCTAGAATATTCAGCTACAAATAATTTAAACATCTTCTGTCCTTCTGTTTTACTCAATCAGTAGCTTGGGGGGAATAATCTACTTCTAGCAAAAGAAACTTACTCATTCTGCTCTGTAAAATAAGGCAGTCAAAAATCTACATACAAGGGACCGTCTCCAAAAGAGTCCTTTGCACTTGGGAATGTGAATGCAATACAGAGAGAGCACACTGTGCATGCAAAGCGTGCAGTGGCCTCATTTATTGAGAATCCCACCTTTGAGGGCATTTCCAATCCTTCTTATTTTCCAGATGTTAGTAAAATCAGATGTGCACGTAACACATGTTGAAAGGTAAGCAAGAGAAATTGCCTTTGGGTAAGAACCATTTTAATAAGCAAGAGCAAAAAAATACCAGATAACAATCAGATAGCCCGCTTGCCTTTTGGGCCTACTTAAATTCATATTAGAGATTACTGTATGCTACAAGAAGATTATGAAGCCTGCAATGGAAAATTTGCAAATCTTTAATTATTAGAAGCATTCAGGGTCAGTTTCTGGAGTCAGCTGTATCACTACACCCCTTGGACTATTCTACTAATTTATAAAACATTTAGAAGCAGAGAATGAAAGAATTAAAAGGAAAAAAAATCCAAATAAACCAAACCCACAACCCAAACAAATATCACACAATCATTAGATACAATGAATTTTGGCTTCCTCATATTTTATTTAATTTTTAGGTTTCACTGAAAGGCATTTTTTCCCTACAAAGTAGAGAAGTTTTCCCTTGTAACTAGCAATGATTACTGAGCCTAGGGAAAAAAAGTCAAAATCTTGTGTATCTTATCATGGAAAGAGGAAGCATCATTCC